TCTAAAAATGGCTTTCAAATTTACTTTGTGATTAATCATAATCAATACAAAATAAATACAAGTAACAATAATGTAAATATTGAAAATATAACCCTCTAATTATTAATTACATAATTACCCAAAGTGCCGGTCTAAAGATTCCGAAGATTCCGCCGAACAAATCAAAGTAATTATTAATTAATAAAAGAGTTTACACTTTTCTCATACTTAAGAGTCAAATGTTATGACAGTGATAGGGAGCAATTGCATACGACGGTTTTTACAATATATCTCAACCTAACGCGAATTCAGTTCAAATCTTAATTAATTATGAGTCCATCTATAATTACCGACTATGAACAAATTATGATTACTATTTATATTCATGTATTGATCGCCATCACATACATATATAAATATTTCTTGTAATCAAGTGGATACTATCAATTCCATAATGAATCGAAACATAATACATTGAATTCACCAATTATATAAAGAATAAATATTTTAGATAGGTCAGGAACATATGTCACTTTAATTCAAATAATAATTTTCTATGCCAGGGCATATAAATCCCATCAGATATATGGTGAATAATTGAGATCAGAAATGCTTGGAGAGTCACTTCCTTCTGTTTATGGTGAAAATTGTGGCGCGAAAAAAATAAGAGATTGGGTGAGTAAACTCCTATTTTATCTCTCAAATACTTTCTTTTTAAGGTTTTCATTCTTAGGAGTTAATTGTTGGTTTTGTATTCTCAATCTCGTACCGAGCTTGAAATAGTATGATTTTAGTAAATGATTTTTTTATTTATTTTTTCACAAAATAAGAAGTGTTAGAAATTAAATTAATACATATAAAGAATCGAAACCTAACAATCTAAAATTTACCTAAGTCACTAACTTACTGAACTATCGAGACGTGTGCTATTAAAACCATTGTTCTTTTATGACGCGGTTGTAATGGTTAATAACTGAATTTTGATAAAAATTTATCGATCGGTTTTCAAGACTGACAATGGCATAAGAGTCATAAAAAAAAAATAAAAAATAAAATAAAATCAATTTTAATCGTGAAGGTGGGACTTGGGCCTTGCATGTATGACACCGTGTGTACGGAAGATTGATGGAAACTTGTGTCTGGACAGTCTGACAAAAAAGGGTGATTGGCAGTACGCGTTAATGACGAGAAAAGCCTACTGTTATACCGTCCATAGAAGCCTCAACAATCTTTTCTATATTAAAGTTTAAATTTAATTAACATTTATTATTAAATAACATAATTGTTAATTATCCATATGAACCGACTCCGAGTAAGTTTGTTAAAAATATATATATTTTTAAATAAGTTAGATATATTTGTTAGAAGATCAGTCTGTATTACCTTTTAAACGAGTTAACACAATGTTAAATCATATATAATTCGTTGCAAAAACAATCAATCTATTAAAAAGAAAAGACTCAAATAAACGCATGTTCAATTTTCCACTAACGGGTTACATGTCAATATCAATGAAAAATGACTTTTCACCATCTTTCATGAACGGTATGGCTAAAACAAAAGTAATATTGGTAAACTTCAATGATCTGAAAATTAATGACATTCTGAACACCATTCAATTACTCTCTCATTTGTTTGAAAAAATAAAAATACCCCATTTTATGCATGCGTGGAAAAAAAAAAAAATTCCACTAAAAAGTAACATGACATATATATATATATATATATATATACACACGCGTACACACACACAGTAAGTTAATAATATAAAGGCCATAACCATGAGAAGGATAGCGTAGTGTCACGGGCTTATTGTTTCAGCACCACTCTAGCTGCTCCCGTGCAGCACCAAGACGTTGCTTTCACTCTCGCAAGTACTTGGTCAGCCTAACTCCCGTGCACACCTTAGCCAACACACTCCCCTCGTGCGCTTACTAGTGTTGTAGTTGCCCTTGCCCTCTCCTCACTTGGCTTGCACACTCACACACACTAAGGCACTTAAGTTGGCAAGGAAAGAACACTTCTATTACTTCAAAGAATGCTTTGTACAAGGCTAACACTCAAACTCTCTACAAGGCTCTCAAGACTCACTCTAGGACTTGTTGTCTACAAAATGAAGTCCTACCTCTATTTATAGGCATCCCCATCCCTAATGGACGGCTAGGATGCATTCTAACCAACGGTGGAGATTGATTATCTAGAATCTTCTCCCACCTTCTTCACACTTCCATACTTATCTACTAGTATCTACAACATTCTAGAATTCTCCATACTACTCCACACAACTCTGGAGAACTCTAGAACCTTCCACACACTTCTACACATTTCTACACATATCTAGAAACTTCCACATAACTCTAGACTATTCCGGAAGACTCTAGAAACTCCACTTGCCATGCAGTTGCCATGCAGCGTCCTCCTCAGCGTCTACGTGTCGCCTGCGTGGCATAACCTCCATAGGCGGGGCGTGACATTCTCCCCCACCCATTTCCGTGACGCCCTCGTCACGGTTTCTTCAGCTGACCCAGCCTCTCGTAGGTCATCAGCACTTGCGCATATGTCCTTGGCCCAAACGTACGAGCGCCCTTCGGGAGATGTGAAGTCCTCACGAGCTCCATCGTGTTGAATGCCACCTCTGGACTCTCCTTCCTACCCACGAGCGGCACCATGCATGCGGCCTTGCCTTCCTCGCCTCCAAGTATCATCAACGCACCAAGGCATGGTAGTGGCGCGACGTTGTTCCTGTCCATGAACTCCAGCCCCAGCACCATGTCGTGGTCGTCCATCTCCGCAACTTGGAAGTCAGCCTTGCCCTTCCATCCTTGCATGCATAGCTCCACCTCCTTGCACACTCTACTCACGCGTGCCTCCTCGGAGTTGACGGCCTTGATCCAGCCCTCCGTCTTGCGCATCTCCAAGCCAAGTCGTTGCGCCTCCTCCGGGGTAATGAAGTTGTGTGTAGCACCCGTGTCTACCAACGCTTGCACGGCTTTGCCACCAACCTGCGCATCCACATAGCGCACCCCAGCTACCTTCTTTGCCTTGCCCTTCTTCTTGGTGTCATGAGCCATGCTACTCAGCATCTGCATAGCCCCCATACACCTATCTTCATCGCTGCCCGCATCGTCCACCCTGCCCTTGCCCTTATCCTTCACAAGGGCGCTCATGGTCTTCTTGTTGGGGCAGTGTCGCAATATGTGCGGCCCTTCGCACAAGTAGCACTTCGGCTCCCACTTGCCCTTATCGCGGCGCTCCCCTTTGCCACTAGCCTTAGACCTCTCTCCATGGTCCTTACCTTTATCATGGCGTGGGCGTCTCTCCTCATCGCAGTGCTCATCATCGCTAGACTTGGGCGAGCCCCGTTTCTTGAAGCGCCGGTCTCCCCCACCTTTGCCATGGTCCCTCTTGGGAGACGTAGCCCTCTTGTCATCGCGCCTAAAGTCTTCGAGGCGCTCCGCTATAGCCATTGCGGATGCCAAGTCTCTAGGCTCCCTCCTCCTTAGCTCCGTGGCCACCCAAGACTGCAGCCCATCAATGAACAAGCACACACGTTGCCGCTCCGGCATCTCTGGGATCTCCAGCATCAAGTTGGAGTACTCCTTCACATACTCCCTTATGCTGCCCTTCTGCTTCAGGCGCCTTAGGTTGATCATGGCGAGGTCCTCAACGCACTCGGGATAGAACTGCCTCTTGAGCTGCCTCTTAAACTCCTCCCATGTGTCAACTGCTCTTGCGCCTCTACCGGTGAAGCGCTGCCTCCACCATAGAGCGGCAGTGTCCGTGAGGTACATAGTGCCTGTCTGCACCTTCTCTTCATCATCCTCGATCTCCATGCACTCGAAGTACCGCTCCATGTGCCAGAAGAAGTTGTCAATCTGGCGCGCTTTCCTTGCCCCATCGTACTCCTTGGGCTCCGGCGCCTTCTTCTTCCTTGGCTTCATTACGACCTCGCGCGCCTGAGAGAACTCCTTCTTGCACTCGGCAATCTCCATGCGCAAGTCGTCTACCCAATCATGCAAGTCCCTTTCTTTCTCTTGCGCCTTGTTAGCGATGCCATCAATCAGCTCGTAGAGCTCCGCCATCCTTCTCTCGAGCCTATTAAACTTAGTCTCCGTGTAGACCAAGTGTGTGGCAAGCTTCTCCTCCAAGCTCTGCTCTAAGATGTGGACTTGGTGGTCTCCTCCGCTAGCCATGTCTACTCCAACAAAGCTCCCTTGACGAACCTGCTCTGATACCAACTGTAACGGGCTTATTGTTTCAGCACCACTCTAGCTGCTCCCGTGCGGCACCAAGACGTTGCTTTCACTCTCGCAAGTACTTGGTCAGCCTAACTCCCGTGCACACCTTAGCCAACACACTCCCCTCGTGCGCTTACTAGTGTTGTAGTTGCCCTTGCCCTCTCCTCACTTGGCTTGCACACTCACACACACTAAGGCACTTAAGTTGGCAAGGAAAGAACACTTCTATTACTTCAAAGAATGTTTTGTACAAGGCTAACACTCAAGCTCTCTACAAGGCTCTCAAGACTCACTCTAGGACTTGTTGTCTACAAAATGAAGTCTTACCTCTATTTATAGGCATCCCCATCCCTAATGGACGGCTAGGATGCATTCTAACCAACGGTGGAGATTGATTATCTAGAATCTTCTCCCACCTTCTTCACACTTCCATACTTATCTACTAGTATCTACAACATTCTAGAATTCTCCATACTACTCCACACAACTCTGGAGAACTCTAGAACCTTCCACACACTTCTACACATTTCTACACATATCTAGAAACTTCCACATAACTCTAGACTATTCCGGAAGACTCTAGAAACTCCACTTGCCATGCAGTTGCCATGCAGCGTCCTCCTCAGCGTCTGCGTGTCGCCTGCGTGGCATAACCTCCATAGGCGGGGCGTGACAGTAGGCAGTATCCTTTTCATATAAAAAATTAATTACTAATGAGTTCCATTTACTTTTTACCCAATGGTCCTAAACATATAAAATAAAAATATAGAAAGGCCAATCACATGAGTTCCAACTCCAAACCATTTCATAAATTCGAAACAAAAATCATATAGGTTTCCCTTTGGTTCTTTGTTCCAATGCCCAGAAAGTCAAATCAGATCGATGCAGCCTCCGACTCTTTACTTCCCTACTAGTAAACTACAAGCTAAAAAAAAAAAAAAAAAAAAAAAAGGTAAAATTTTGGTTGATTACCAAAGATTATCTCGAAAATCCTAATTGTCAGCAGCAGAACATTGCAGGTTCTCTCACCTTAGAGACCAGGTTATAGCTCATCCTGCAAACAGAAAAACAAGAGCAAGAGCAAATAAAATAAGAATTGCGGTGGATAGAGAGAGTAGCGATTTGATCAAGACAATAGAGCAGAAAGAAGTCTTACGTGTTTATCATCATCCTCACTGTCTGTACCAGCTTTCTTGTCTTCGGCATCATCTCCTTCTGCATCGTCACCATCTGCATCGTCTTCATCCTCGGCCTAGAAAACAGATTGACAACAATTAGGGACCCGGATAAAGTTACAAGTTGGATTCTTTGAAGAGAGGTTTATTGACTTACATCAGAATCAACTGGATCCTTTGAGTCCTGATAGACAATCAAATTCAGGAGTTAGGACGGATATAATCAAACATCTACTACTTCAGTGAATTAAAAAAGAAACAGATATGCTTCAAATCTGAAGCAATATACAAGCTCATTAGTGCTTAAAAGCAACTCTCTTCCAATAATTCAGGAATTAAAAGCTATAGAATATAGTCAGAAAACTAAAATTGATCCTTCAAACCCCCTTTAATATTTATATTTATAACTATAAAAATAGCGATAATCTACTAAATGAGAACCATACAAATTAGTAAATTAAAGAAAAGAGAAGAAGAAGAAAAAGAAGAAGAAAAGGGAATACCTCCTTCTCTGCCTCATCAAATGCTGCCTTCTCTGCCTGGAAAATCAAATATAATACCAAACATCAATAAACAGCAAGACAAATTACATATCATTTGCGAGCAGCATTAAAGGGGAGAATAGCAACTTACATCCTTGTTCTTTCCCCATGTTTCTTCTGCCAGCTTCTTTGCATACTCCGGATCATCGCAAATCAAGACATTGTCAAACATTGTTCCAGATTTTACCTGAAAATGCATATATACTTGGTTATAGTTCCAATTGCCTAGTAACAATAACATATATGAAGTGCACCACTGGAGTTACCTGCCACAGCTCAATTCCAACGTACTTCAATTTTGGGAAAACATAGAGATCCGGATCATCTTTGAAGTCTGTATGGAATAGAAATTTTTAGTTTTGGTGAATTTGAACTCAATGATGTTACCATAAAATATATCAAGGCTTTAAAGAAGAATGGACAAACACCTGGGTTGTCAATCATAGGTGCCTTCCACTTCCCTTTGTAATTGGGGTTCTTAATTTTCTGTCAAGAGGAAAGCACTAATTACAGAACAGTCATTTCTAAATATATATATATATAAAATAAAAATAAAAATAAAAAAAATAAAAAAGTGAATTTAAACTACAGTTCTACAAACCTTAGCCTTCCATGGACCCTTGTACTCGGGGTTTGGAATGGTTGGTGGTGTCCACTCACCATCTTCCTCATCATCCCAGTCTTCAGGCTGAAATTATTAACCACGCTACTCAGTGACTGTTTCACTTCCGAATAATTATTCTAAACAACAGATATAAAGACCTGCTGAGCAGGAAATTCTGTATAACTACCTTTTTACCATCAGGATCGGTTATCTCCTTAGGGATGTCATCATAGCCCTGTAGTACAAGAAAACAGTCCGATCATAAACCCATATTTCAGCCATTTATCTAAATTGGGACCAAAAAATAGGTAATATTTGTTACCTCTGGCTTCTTATCTTCTGGATCGGGAATGTATTCTTTGTCATCCCAATCTTCAGGCTGCCATCAGTATGTAGCTGAGTCAATATTATAATTCAAAAGACAGAGAGAAAAACAATTAGAAACCTTATTACTATTGAGCAATTACTTTCTTGGCTTCTGGGTCCTTAATTTTCTTTGGTGGGAGAAGATCCCAATCAGAGTACAGACTACCAGATTGCTTCTCCTCGTTATCAATGAGGATGCTGTAGGTAGCATCAGGGCGGAGGATAAATGTGTAAACATGAGTCAGCTGGTCAGTCTCACAAGGAACATCCTTTTTAATCAACTGGTTTTTCCCATTATAAGTAAGAATAGTATGGACTTTCTTTGTGCTGTAGCCACAGATATCCGGTCCAAACATGATGCTGCAATTACCCATAGGTTTATCCAAGTCAGAAATTTGAACAGGATAAGAAATTTGTAGAGATATCAGGTAGCAAGGTAAAAGAAAAACCTATATGGGGTATCACCACCAAAATTCTTTTGATCAACTTCACCGCTGAGTAACTTCATGTAGCCACCACCACAGTCAAGTTTCTGTTCATGCTTAACAGAAAATTGGAAGACTAATGTCTTATCCTTGTTACTCAATTGAGGGAACTCAGCCGATATAGCATAGAATCTGTAATCTTCACTGGTTTGGATGCCTACATCAGGACAACAAAGTCACAATCAAGTAAATGTTTCAACCTCCATAAAAATAAAAATAAAAAATCCAAGGATTGATCATCGCAACAAACAGTTAAAAAAATTAATGCTTCATTATTGATGCAGGGAAAAAAAGGCACCTTTATCATTAGGATCTCCATTCCATTTACCAGAAGTGTAGTTCCACTCCCCAGCCATTTTCTCATCTTTCTTCCAGTCAGACTTTACCCACCGATTCTCCCACCCATCTTAACAGTGCAGCAATAGAAACAGATGATTAGAACAGAAAACAGAGGAAAAGGGGAGGAAGAAAAAAGAAGAAAAAAAAAACCATTTAATACTTGGATTGGATGCAAATTTTCAAACAGACAAAGATTAAGTTGACTCAGATATGCACGCAGAGAACATATTTCATTAAACAACAAAGCAATTCAGGTATTCAGAAATTCTACAAAACCAAAGCTGTGAGAAAATTCTAATTTGAGACTGAATTACATGCATATCAATAAAATTACTTACATGTTTCCATTTTTCTATCTTGTCGCAATAGCATTATGAACATGGGAAAGGAAAATTCACTATACATAGTTACATGTTTCCATTTCTCTATTTTGTTCCAATAGCATTATGAACATGGGAAAAATAAATTACTATACAAAGAAATGTAACAAGTAAATATGTACATGGTACATAGATTTTGCAAGTCATTACGTTTAAAATTAGATAGGGCGTTTACAAGTCTAGATAACAGTCTTATAAATCCTAAAATAAAAATCTTTTACTAGAAGCCTAGATAACAGTCTTATAAATCCTACGTTTACAAGCCTAGATAACAGTCTCATAAATCCTAAAATAAAAACCTTTTACTACAAGTATCATGTATACATGGTAACACACATAACAAGCACATGTTTTCTTTATCCAGTAGCTACTCATTTAAGTTGAATCAAACATTTGAGCACTCAAGTGACCAGAAGTTGAAATAACAATAAATCTTAGCAATGGTTATTCAATCAAAACAAATTAAGCGTCACAAGAACTTAATCCCAACATGACCATTTTATATGAATCCATCTAGCACTGAAGCAAACAGACAAGGAAAATGCAGATTATGGACACAAACCAACAAAATCCAAACCCCAACACCAACTTGTTCGCAGATCTACCACTAAAATCGTAACTTCAAACATAATTGAGCACTAAAAAATACATTTATGATTCAGAATTATCAGATCGACACACACACATACACTGAATACCACTAATGAACTCAAGAGTTTACTTTTTCAAACGAAAAAACACTTTTTGATAGGTAAATCAGATCAAATTTAACGCCAATTACTTTCATAAACCCGCAATAAACCCTAAACTGATTGAAATGCAAGCTAATATCAGCAATTAATAAACTAAAAAATCGTCCCAGAGAGAGATCGGACGTACCGGTGAAGCGTTCTTCGAAGAAGACTTCTGCAGAGGCGATCGCGAAGAGAGAGAGGACAATGAGAGAGAGGAGACTAGGGTTTCGTCTCTCTGTCGCCATAGCTAGAGAGAGAAATGAGAGAGTGATGTAGGCGATCTGTTTGTTTGATTTTTAGTATTGGATAAATATCGATTTCAACTTGGAGGGTTAACGCCGATTTGGATGGTGTGGATGACGTGGATCAATAAGATGAAGACATGTCATCTTTTATTGTCATGGATGTAACGTGTCTGATATTAACTGGCAACTACACGAATTGTAGAGTGTGGGACTGCAGAGCGCACGTGGCAAGTTCTTGTTGATTGATTTTACGAGTTTAGCCTTTAAGCTCTCCCGTAAACAAATGGGAGTGGTACGTGAGTCTTAAATTGAAGGAAAGAGATTGTCAGTGACTCAGTGATTGTACACTGCCACGTGGCACAATAACAAGTGGGACAATGGAAAATTGTTGTGAATAATGTCACATCCAATGCAACAAATATTGAGATTTCTTAATCTACTGTAACAAAAAAAAATTAATGTTGATAATTTTTTAAAATAGATATTTGTAGTACCTTTTTTTTTGTGAAGTTATTTTTTTGATTATTTTCATTAATATTTTCTTAAATTTAGTTAAATATCACATTTAAATATTTTTTAAAAATTATTATTACATAAGTTTATTTTTATTTTTTCGTCACAAAATTTGTTAAAAAAATAACTTTGTCTTTAATTTTATTTATTCTAAAATATCAAATTACTTAAATTACTATTATACCCTTAATAAAGGTCAAATTCCAAGAACCCCAAATGTGAATGATTCACTAGCCTAATAGAACATAAAACCCAGTTGCTGGTAAGCTGTCGTTCTTCAAAAACCAAACCAACGTATACTTGTGTATAATTTCATTTTTTTTTTTTTTTTCTCCCCTTCAATTTTCTAAGCAACCAAACAGACTAAATTGCTCAAAATTGAATTCATGCCTAATCCAATTGACTAAAGACTAGTCCACAAGTACAATTTACCAGAGATTAAGTCGAATTCACATCAAAACTAAATATATCACCTTTTTAGATGCTCTTGGTTGAGACATTGCCTTCGGCTTTGGCTTTCTCTTCCTCTTTCTTTGACTCCCGCAACAATCCTTGTCTTGGTCATCTTGATCTACATCCCATCACAACCTTCTTTTTCTCTGACCACACTCTTCTGACATTTTTTCTATCATTATTTTAATTATCGTTATTGCAATCTAGTTTGTTCAAATTGGGTTAATAATATATCCGTTAATTGGGTATATATATACAGATGCATACAGACATACATACCGTTGAAATTGGGTTCTTCCTGCGATTCAAATTGGGTTATATATATAAGTCTATATAATTGGGTTTGGAGGTCGTCGGAATAGGTGGTGGTGGGGAGGGAGAGGAGAGAGGAGAGAGAAGAATAGATATAATTCAAAGTGTTGTACTTGTATGCCCAGGGGTATCCGCCATGTTCGTGGTGAAAGTGGGGATTGTAAAAGCAACCAATTAAGGGTCGCACCATGGACGGCAACGGCCGCTAGACAGCGACTTATGTTCTCTGTGTTGGGATTTATATGCCCTGACATAGCAAATTTCTATCTGGATTATAGTGACATATGTTCCTGACATATCTGAAATATTTATGATTTATATAATTGGTGAATTCAATATATTATGTTTCGATTCACTATGAAATTGATAGTGTCCATGTAATTACAAGAAATATTTATATATATGTATGTGATGGCAATCAATGCATGATATATAAATAGTAATTATAAATTGTTCATAGTCGGTAATTATGGATGGACTCATAATTAATTAAGACTTGAACTGGATCCGCGTTAGGTTGAGATATATTGCGAGAGCCGTCGTATGCAATTACTCTCTATCACCGTCATGGCATTTGACTCTTAAGCATGAGAAAAGTATAGACTCTTTTATTAATTAATAATTACTTTGATTTGTTCGGCGGATTCTTCGGGATCCTTAGACCGACACTTTGGGTAGTTATGTAATTAATAGTTAGAGGGTTATATTTTCAATATTTGCATCATTGCTACTTGTATTTATTTTGTATTGATTATGGTTGATCACAAAGTAAATTCGAAGGCCTTCGTGTGGTTTTAGACAAAATAATTTATTATATATTTATTTATTTAAATTATTATTTTTGTCAAACAAATGTTTTATTGTGATCGAGCCAGAAATAATCAGAGGTACCAAAATAAATATATTAATTAAGTAGTCGGATTGATGGCATTATTTATCCGATAACTAATTATGCATAGAGGGGTCAAAGTGCAATATTGACTTAGTGGTTATTTATTATTTAATTGGAGTTCAATTAATTTCTTTTAGTGGAGTAGAAATTAATTTATGAATTAATTGAATTGGGTCCATGGACCGGGCCAATTATTAATTCATTGTAGCCAATAAAATAATAGGCCCAATGGATTCTCACTCATAGCCCAACTTGATATTGGAATCATATTAGATTTGAGACATGTGAATTAGAGATTGAGAAGAATTAGTTGTTTCCTTTTCTTTACCTTTATGTTGCCTATAAATATACATGGTCTATGTATATTTTAGGGGTGATTTTTAGTAGAAGGAAAAAGGAATAAATATTTTCTCTCTCTAGAAAATTAGCGTTTATGTTCTCATCTAATGGAGGCTCCCACAAGCCTAGTTTTCCAAGGTAATTCATGGAGGCTTATGAGTGATTTCTAAAGGCAAAATAATTACCAAGAAGATGGAGATCCAAGGAGAAGGCATCTTGCTAAGGGATCTACAATAAGTGAGAACATTCACTTTAGAGGAAAGTTTTAAAGGTTTACTCAGACATTTGATGTAAGTATTCAATCCATTAATTGAATGATACATCATATTTTTATTTTTGCATAAAACTTGTCTCTATGTGATGAATCAAGATTCATGAATCAAAATCCCTCGAAAAGTTTTTAAAACTTGCACGTTTCCCAACAGTGGTATCAGAGCATGGTTTGATTCATTACTAGAGATCATGATTTTATGAAAATTCATCATTCATGGATCCAATTTTGATATGCATATATTTATTTATTGATGTATGTTGATGTATGAATTAATATATTGATATATATTGATACATGATGATGTATGTATAATTGTGAATGGATGATGATATGTGTTTTGGGCCATGAATGAAGCTTATAGGAATATTGAATGTAATTTTATTAAGGCTTTGATTTAGCCGTTTGAAAGTTAAATGATGTAATTTAATTTTTTCCATTGTATTTCAAATTGTAAATTTATTTAAAGCTATGTAATATTCATCAAAGGGTGCTATGAAGCTTCAAGAAGGTCCAAGAGGGTTAAATTAGGCTTCAGGAATTTTCTGGAATCTTTTAGAAATTTTTCTAGAATTTTTAGAGCCTAAATTTAATTTTTCTGGAATTTTTTATAATTTTCGGCGATTTTCCGGCAATATTCCGGCGACCAGAGAGGCGTAATCCCATGTGACGCGGATTGGAAGGAATATCAATACACCCAATGAGAGTGCACGTAATCTGCACGCGCCGAAGTTAGTGGACAGGTCTTACAAGCTGGCGCGTGAGGACCACGCGCCAGCCAAAGCAGGAGGTTCAGCAACTGGCGCGTGCACTGCACGCGCCAGACAATGGATTTTTCAACCAGGTGCGTGTGGACCACGCGCCTGCTATTTCAAGCCCCACATGGCGCGTGGCAACGCGTGCCACGCGCTGCCAAGGTCTTCTCGCGCGTGCAGGCGCGTGGAGAAGCTTTGGCGCACGTGGGGCTGCTGGGAACAAGGTTTTAATGGCTGCGGGTGTTATTTTGTTTTTCCTGACGCGTACCAGCTTCCTATAGGTGTTAACAAGCCGTTGGAGGACGCCCGTATAATTCTTAGAGAAATTAAATGTTAAAAGCTGATTCCATTGGCCGTTTTTATTTGCTTTATCTGTCATTTATTGATGTATGTGATGCATGTAATTGATAATTGTTGATTAATTATTATTCATGCATTGGATCCATGATATTTATTTAAATGGCTTGATTTATATTAATTAAATTATGAAAATTAATTGGATAAGATTACTAATTAATTTGAGGGCACTTATTGGGAAACGAAAAATTATTTTTGTAAATTATTTTTAAAGTGTGCTTCAAATTAAATATTAGTGAATCATTTAAAACCCAAATATTTTCTAAATTTAATGGGATTAAAATCAAGACGTTTTGCATGCATTATATCATGTAAATTGAAAACCCTAATTATTAATGACTAAAAATTGAGTGGGAGCGGGGATTTTTATACATTACCCCATGGCCTTCGTTATTAAAACCATTGTAATTAGATCTTCAAAAATAAGGCCCCACGCATGATTTGAAGAGTTTTAATATTACAAGAATGGTTGTCTCATGAAAATAAAAATATTAAATGTTCATTGTAATTAGATCTTTAAAAATAAGGCCCTACGCATGATTTAAAGAGTTTAGATTATAATGACAACATATTTAATGTTTTATTTTTCATTAGAGCATTAATAATGTTATACACTCAATCTAAAATCAATAGTGTTAGCTCCTCAACGGAGTGGTCTACACTAGGTGATTTTAGAAAGGCTAAACATAATCGGGAATCATTTCATATAGATAGACAAGGCATTGTCTTAAAAGATATGGAGATGATGGGATTTGCCCGCCAATAGCAATAATGAACTTCGCCAACCGAATAAGTTATTGGTGTATTGGTTATCCGATTTTTCATGCAGTGGTTAAGGGACCCACATACTATTTTAATGGAAGTGCTCACCTAATAGTAAATGAATCTCAACAATAGTAATAATGAACTCCTCCAACAGGATAAGTTATTAACATATTGATTGGTTGATTTATTATGCTACAGAGTTGAGGGACCCGTATTAATTAAAAGGCATTGTTCACCAATAATGATAATGATCTCTTGTTCGATTGAGATTTATTTTATTATGTGGTTAACAAGCTCATTTTAATTTTAAATATGCATGACAGTATTAATAATTCACCTTGCATATTGTATAAATGTATTTATATTCAGATTAATTATGTCTAATCCAATTTGTCTACTTGC